CTGTAAAACAGCAATTATGCTGAGTCAGGCTTGATTTTTAGTAATCTTTTCCTGTTAAATAAATAAATCAAATCAATTTTTTCAAGCCAATATGCAATTTTTTTAAAGCAAAAACATCTAATTGTGACTGAAGTGTTGCAGATCTTTTACCACCTTTTATTTCCCTATTCTTGGGTTAATAAATGTCAACAACTTGCTTTTACACAAGCAATTAAAACAACTAACTCCACATAGTGGTAAACTTTAACAGAACGACCAGCTGTGTTCTCAGATCAGATTTTTTTCTGCACCACCATCAGTTTCACTCTCTGCTTCTTGCTGATGTGTTTAAACCTGGTCTCCCCTGCAGATGCCTGCCTGTACCAGTGTGAGAGCATGGAGGAGGGGGAGGACGGAGACTTAAGTCAGAGGCTGAGCTACGATGCGTCGGTATGGACACTGTGTAACACTCAGTATTAAACACTGACACAGTCTGCAGCAACATTCAGTGCAGAGATAATAAATGGTGTAAATTCAGGTAAAAAATATTATTCTCAATAAAACCATCTAAAATCTGGGTTAAGTCACATCTCATCACATAATAAAGAACCAATAGAATAGACCATTTTACACAAACATATCTAAACTAAAATGACCATAAATCATTTCTTACAAAAAATAAAAATGGTCGGATGTAAGAGTGTGACTGATAAAAATGGGAGTAGAGGAGTCGACAACAAATGTTTCTCACACAAGTAAATTGAGGTGCAGCTGTCRGTAAAAGAAACGCTGAGTCATGTTGGTGGTTTAACGTTTATTTTTTTGCGTAACTTGGTTGATTTCACAGGGTTAACAGGACAGACTTGTTGAATGCTGGTTAAAGTGACAAGACGAACATTTGTCCAGCTGAACCTGTTTTTAAATGATTGAGCAGAACTCAGCTATGATTTCAGTACAGTACAGTTGAAACATAAAACCACATCGTAGTTATGGYGTAAACAAAGCTTTAGCAACAGATTTGTTTTTCTTACTTGAAGGAGATTTGTGTTAAAACTTTCTGTGACTCCTGTACCATTTATCTTTTGTTTTACTTTAAGGACCCTGAGGTTCTACTTCTCTTATCTACTATCTTGTAGATTTTACTAAAGCTATTTCTGCATTTTGGCACCAGTCCTCATCAGTGAAGGTCACTTTTCAGCTACAGAGTGATCCTGCTAAAAGCCGCCCACACAGCATATTTACTGGTTTTCTGTACATTTTGTCCCTACAGTTCATTTGCTGCCTGTATTATCATAGGAAACACAGAAAGTCTTAAATTTCCTGAAATTTGGAAGCAAAAAAAAAAAATCAGCTTTTGTGGCATTTGTGCTTGGTACTTTTGGTGTAACACACAAACTAAGCTATTTATAAAGCATTTTTTACTTTACATTTAAAAGTTTGGTTAGTTTGAGTATTTTTTTCTAAATGTTAAACTTTTCTTAAGACTTGTGACTAGACTATTGTGATTCGTTTCCCATCCAAGTCATCTCCACTTTGGCACGCTTCTCCTCCTGCATACTTTGTCCTAGAGCTGCCATTTTAATTTATATCTGTAAAGCTCCTGTGCCAAATGACGGCTATGCCTTTTGGTGCCTGTACAACTTATAGTTTTTGAAATATTAATGTTTAATAATTTATAATGGGAGTCAATGGAGCCTTGTATTGGTCCAATACTGCCTCCTGCTGTATCTGCTCAGCACTGAACCATAGTTTAATAATATTTAATCTCAATAGTTCAGTAGTTACAATACTAATATGATTGTATTTTGATGTTTTACTATAATATTGTCCTAAAATTGCTCAATTGCTGTAATATATTGCAGTTTAGTGTCAGCAATTGCATTGGCAATGTGGCCTCTTTCTGCACACATACAAAGCAACCCCTGGCAGTGCCCTCTGCCACAGCTCCAATGGTCTCATGGTTAACTCTATGGGCTTTCATGTGGGAGATCAGGGTTCAAACCCCAGCTACAGCAACGTTAACAAAAAATCTCTACAAACTTCATATTGTTACACAATTATGCTCATTACAGACACCTGCTGACTTGACAAGCGCAAACTGGTAGAAAACACATTTGAACTTGGTCACATTTCATTCTTAAAGTCCAATGCTGCAGGCAAAGCCATGCTACATGGCAATGCACACTTGTTTTTACATCGTAAAAACCCATGTCTAGTTCACATTTGTTGTTAGCAGAACCAGCATCATACACACACAATAGATGAGASGACAATGTAGGCTGATCCTGTATCGGCTGGCTGAATGAAGCAGGGGTTTACACACACAACTACCATGTCTCTCTATCCTTGTGGGGACTTTGCATTGACTTCCATTCTTTTATTTTTTTTTTCGAAATTTTATATCCTAACCCTATCATTTACCCTAAAATAAACTCACAGGTACCTACCTGACCCTAAAACTAACCTAAACTCAATTCACACC